ACAATAAACGCGAGGCTCACGTCGGAACCCGGACGGTCAAGTGTGGGAGAGACCTTACGGGGACATGCGACGGTGTGCTGACATGTTCAACTTTGGGAAGGTGACAAGAACCAAAAACAAAGTCTGAAACGGTGTTAGAATCTAAGGCATCTCTTGTGACGTCATACGTGAAGTCGTCCTTCTGTGGTACAGACCTTCTCGTAACTCTGCGCTTTAGTCGGGAGCGCCGTGCTTCCACGCTGACCAAACAGCTCCGACTTGCAGGATTTCGGGACAACGTAGTCCTAAAGGGACAACGACGGTAAAACGAGGACGGTGGGAGGATACCATGAAATGGGCATGAAAGAGCCAAAATACCAAAAGTCGTTCCAATTAGACAAGCCTTCCGGTCATTGCTAGTGAGTGAATGGGCTGCCCAAATTCTTCGTCCAACAGCCCTATCCGTGGGCAATCGATGCGATTTATTTTTCCAAAGCGATTGTGTTTTTTTCTTGGAGAGTTCGGAGGAAAAACTCTGAGGCTCTGACCGTTCACATCTTCGTGCTTATCTTACCTTGGCGTTCCAAACGTATCCAAGTTTGTTGATGAACACGTCCGCAATACCCACAAGCGTTGGAGCATTTTCGTAGCCATCACTTGCCCGCTTCGGCGTCTCAACTTCAGTGTAGTACGTACTCAAGTACCTGTAGCGATGAGAATGAACCGCGACAAAGATCGGCACCGGGACATGCCAAGTCACTCAAATCAAGTAGCTAGCCTACCATCTCTCAGATAGACTGGCGAGCTTCGTGTCTTTGGCCACGAACAGTTGTGCCTCATGCAGACTCTGATTGTCGAACGGCATCTTTCTACATGCTTACTTGTCTGACAGTGGAAACTATGATCGGGAAAAAGTATTCAATCTCCATCCTTTGATAGCAACAAGACGTCGTACCTTGCCGCTGCTGGGTTCTCATCCGCAATGGCATCGATGAAATGCCTGCTTCCCTTTACCGCATCTAAGCGGGATCCGTCAAGCATTATCCTGGTGAGCGAGCACGGCCTCCAAGTCAGTGACAGTGAGGATTCCGCGGTACGTAGGGTCGAACATCTTCCCCAAACGTCGGGGTGTGAACTGCGCCGAGAAAATACACTACTTCTGGCGGAATTATGCGTGCCCAAAGAGTACACAGAGAAGCAAGGTTGGAATCCAGTTAAAACCGTTGGGAGTGGTCATTCCAACCGAACGATATTCCAACGATAAACCTACATCGAACATGAAGTTAGAACCATACTGAAGTGCCTCCTCCTAAACATGAGAGCAACCATGCCTTGGTTCGTCGTATTCCGTTGTAGAAAACACATCAAACCCCAAATCAGTCGGCGGACAGCGTTGTTCATGTTTTTTGTTTTGTTTTGGTCATTGGTGCAAAATAACAGTTGTCGGTTCAAACGTTCGACCGTCACCTTGAGAAATTACGTATTCTGCCGCAAACAGTTTCCTACATTGTTCCCTCCGGCGGGAACCAAAAACTACCTACCTACCTTACACAATCAGTTTTCAGCCAGCCTTCGTCACGTTGTTGTGATACCCCGAAAATTCTTGACAACTGTCAAGGTGTTGTTGCTGGGTTGATCCATGCATTGAAAGGGTTGGGTTGTATGACGCTGATGGTAAAAACATGAACATGCCTCTACCCGTCGCCTTGCAATGCTGCTCATTCCGCACCGTACCTCGTAGGAAACAACGAGCCCGAAAAAATCTCGAAGTATGAAGTTAACGTCTTCTCGAAGTCTAGATGGCTTGCCGGTGATAGCATGCCAGGGAGTTTGGCGAGTTCTGGTCTCCTGATCACAACGGCGCCCTGGACATGGGACATCTCTTCTCCTAGATCAGCCCGTTCCGGGTGTACGTGTACACCCTGCGTTTGTTTTGATCGAATGAGTATCAGTGCATGCCCTTATTGCTCGGCACCGTAAGCTTGTTGTAGTCGGGGACAACAGGGCCTTCGGCCAAAGCTCGATGCACTCCTCACGGTAGCACCGAGGGGAATCTGTTTGTCGCCGATGAATCGCTGTACAGTACCTAACCCTAATCTGTGTTCGAAACAGGCCTGCTCACGGAAATGTAGCATGAGTAGGTGTGTCGCAGTCGTACTTCGAAGCTCTCGGGTCGGAGGTAAGTGCTGTGATACCGCGTCATGTTCAGCAGACATTCCCACCCAAACCTTCACCGCCTGGGGTGTACAAAACGTGTCACGTTCCCTCTGGCGCTGAGTGTCAAGGCGCCACCCCCCCCCCCCCCCCCACTATCTGCCTCTTGGTTGACCCCCGATTGTTATTTGTCACGTTTTTTGTCCAGGCCTGTTGTGGAAAAACTTAAAAAAGTTTTTTTTTCTGAGCCCCGGGGTTTCCGGGCCCGCCATGGAAGGAAAGGGCCCACAAACGGGTTATCCTGGGTATTTGAACATCCGTTTCCCTGGGCAATTTTCTGTGGTTACGCCCCTCCACCCCAGTTTT